ACCCCAAAACCCCAAAACCCCAAAACCCCAAAACCCCAAAACCCCTTGAATCTGAAATGTGTTAATAAGGCGTTACTATGAAATAAAATGAAAACAAATTCTTTGAGTGTTAATGTTTAGTTTGAATGAAATGTTAATCTATTTCCAATTTAATATAAAAGTCTCTACTGATTCTAAAATCGCAGAGTACATTCAAGACTTAATGATCAAGATAGCGTGAACAACAGAAATGCAGCCAAGTGAAAAACCACCGACCCAGATCCAGATCACGATACCAAGAAGTAATCTTCCTCTGTGAATGAGATAAAACTTTCCACTCTCACTATCAGCAACCTTGGTCATGTCGTCATAGCTAAGATTACCTTTATCCATAGCTACATCTCCAGAGCACCATTTTCCAGAATATTGGAACCTATAAACATGGATGATGATGAGAGCAGCGAATGCTAGGCAATCGTTGAAGCAGCAAATGCCATCAAGCATTACAAGTTTTTTGTTGTTTGTCAAAACAGCGAGGAGCACCAATATGCATCTCACAGAGTTAGCAATGAATACAGCGAAATAGATCTTCAAGATATCTGAAAATCTATCATGTACATTAATAACATCATCTCTAAAGATGTTGCAACCGTCTGAGTTGCAGTGAGCGCATTTATTGTCGACTTCCTTGTCCCAAAGATAAACTCCAGTTGCTACTGTCAAGGCAACGAAGGCACAAGAGTATAAAATTAGTTGAAGAATGAGGATGCTTTTATACTTTCCTGATTCTAGTCTTCCACCGGCTGTGAAAGCAGAGGCCTTGTTTGATTTCATTTGATAAGATTTAATATTATAAAAGTATCACTTTACCTCTTTTAGAAACTTTAATTACTACCTAAGTATTATTTCAGCCAATTTAAAATTTTATTTTATTTAAAGCTTGGTATATTTACTGTTGAATTCTTAGAGTTTCACAAGAATAAATCAAAACGGGGTTTTGGGGTTTTGGGGTTTTGGGGTTTTGGGGTTTTGGGG